AATTAATATGCTGCAATTTGGAAATCATAAGCTGCCTTTAATATTTTGTTTTTTTATATAAAACAAGGCATATTCTTATAAAAATTCAAATGTGATATATACACACTTGTAATTCGAGCTAATTCAAAGTTATCTCCTTTTTAAAAAATCAGCCATATATGTTCAAATAATCTTTGCCAAAGGCACCAAGAATACAGAATGGGTAGAATGCTCTCGAATAGCAGCACATGATACAGAGACTCATTCATGAAAGGAATAGTCAACCAATATGACAGATGTCATTGTTGTCTTATTTTAAGAATTTGCCACAGGCACCCCACCCTGATCAGTCAGCAGCCATTAACATCGAGGCAAGACCCTCTATCAGCAAAAAGATTATGATGTGATGAAAGCTCAGATGATGGTTAGCATTTTTTAGCAATAAAAATATTTTTTAATTAAGTATGGGATTGTTTTTTTTTAGACATAATGCTATATCACACTTTAAATAGACTATAGTACAGTGTAAACTTAACTGTTATAAACACCAGGGAACAAAAAGAATCATTTGACTCATTTTATTGTACTATTTGTTCTATTGTAGTGGTCTGGAACTGAACCCACAATATCTCTAAACTATGCTGGTACATAAAGCTAAAAAGCTTTTCATTGCAAAGGAAATAGTCAATAAGATTAAAAGGCAACCTACAGATTGGGAGAAAATATTTGCAAGCCATATATCTGATAAGAGGCTAACATCCAAAATATATAAGGGACTCATATAACTCAATAGCAAAAAACCAAATGACCCAATTAAAAGATGAGCAAAGGCCCTGTATAGACATTTTTTCCAAAGAAGATATAAAAATGGCCAATGGGTATATGAAAAATGCTCAGTATTACTAATCATAAGGAAATACAAATCAAAGCCACGATGACATACCGCCTCACATCTGTCAGGATGGCTATTATCAAAAAGCCAGAAGGGAAGTATTGGCAAGGATGAAGAGAAAAGGTAACACTTACAACTTACACACTGTTGATGGGAATGTCAACTGGTAGAGCCATTAAGGGAAACAGTGTGGCAAGTCCTTGGAAAATTAAAACTAGAACTACCATATAATCCAGCAATCTTTTCTTCTGGTACATAGCCAAAGGAAATAAAATCACTTTCTTGAAGAGATATCTGCACTCCCATATATTATAATAATAATAATATATAATAATATTATTGTTATTATTTCTAGTAGACAAGACACAGAAGCAACCTGAGTGTCAATGGATGATTGGATAAAGAAAAGGTAATCACACACACACACACACACACACACACACACACACACGAATAGAACAGAGTGGAATACTGTCATTTGTGACAACACGGATAAACTTAGAGGACATATGTTAAGCGAAGTAAGCTGGACACACAAAGACAAGCTCTGTATGGTTTCACTTATACGTGGAAGCTAAAAACATTGCGACCCTCATGGTAACAGAGCGGTTGTTGCCAAGGGCTGCGGATGGTGGTAGGAAAAGGGAGATGCTGGTCAAAGGGTGCAAACTTTCAGTTATAAAGTGAATAAGTTCTGGAGACCTAATATGCAGTATGGTGACTACAGTTAATAACAACATACTGTATATTTGAAATTTGCTGAGAGTAGATCTCAAGTGTTCTCACCACACACACAAAGAGGTAACTGTGAGATAAAGGATGTATCTTTTTAAAGTTTATTTTATTTTGAGAGAGAGAAGGGTATGAGGGGAAGAGAGAGAGAGAGAGAGAGAATTCCAAGCAAGCTCCACACGGTCAGCATGGAGCCTGACATGGGGCTTGAACTCATGAACCCTGAGATTGTGACATGAACTGAAACCAAGAGCCTGCTGCTTAACTGACTGAACCACCCAGGCGCCCCAAGGATGTGTTACTCAACTAATCTTAGAAATCATTTCACAGTGTATACATATATAAAAGTATTACATTTTATACCTGAAAGATACACAATTTTTATTTGTCAATACAGCTGTAAATAATCACTCTCACAGGTATAATAATCCAAGGGGGGGGGGTGTTGAGCTGGGCAGTGCTTGCCAGGAAGTGCTGATTGTGAACAGTGGGCATGAGGAAATCATGCAGGAGAAGCCCCATACAGGGTGCGTGGGAGGCTGTTAAAGGAAGAACTTGAGTGGGAGCGTCCATGCATATACCCTGAACCAGTAACAGATCCTTTTCCTATCTGGGAATTGTTTGCCTTTTTGACCGGGCTGGGTGTTACAGGAGAGACATACATGAAGCGGCGATGGAGGAAAAATACCAACTGATGAGACTCTGGTATGGAGTGAGGCAATGGCTCGCCCAGAAGGCTTGCATTCCCAGGCCCTTTCCTAGGATTTCAGGAGGTCTGTCAGCAGGAAAGATTGTTCTTATGACTGAGTTTCTACCAGGACTCATCTGATCTGGATGTCTAATACTTGAGTCTCTGTAGGGAGAAGTAACGTGGTGTTGTGGTGTTGCAAGTTAGTCTGAGTTATTTTAGTCATTCAAAATTGTCCAGTAAACAATGGTATCCTCCAACTATTTGAGACAGGTAGGGGCTATGCCTACCCACTCACACTTGCTCCCTGAAGATATGTTGCAATGAAGAAAGCCTCAAATGAGTTTTGCCACAGGTACAAATGTTTGTTGGCAAGCAGGTAGAAAAAGTGGCATATTCCTTGATCCTGTGTGCTGGAAGAAGTTCCCCAGCTTCTGTGCTTTTACACAATGGCCCCTTGCACAATTAAAATGATGTGTAGGCATGTACCCCAGTGTTCATAGCAGCACTCTCAACAATAGCTAAAGCATGGAAAGAGCCTAAAACAGATGAATGGATCAAGAAGATGTGGTTTATCTATACCATGGAATACTACATGGCAATGAGAAACAATGAAATCTGGCCATGTGTAGCAACATGGATGGACCTTGAGGGTGTTATGCTGAGCGAAATAAGTCAGGCAGAGAAGGACAAATATCATATGTTTCCACGTATAGGAGGATTAGGAGGAACTTGACGGAGGACCAAGGGGGAGAAGAAGGGGGGAGATGGTGGGGGAAAGGGAGAGAAGCAAACCATGAGAGACTCTTGAATGATGACAAAAACTGAGGACTGATGGATGTGGGGGGGAGGGGGGATGGGCATGGAGGAGGGCACTTGTGGGGATGAGCACTGAGTGTTATGTGGAAACTAATTTGACAATAAACTATTAGAAAAAAAAATGATGTGTAGGATCGCAACAATATTCTAATGGCAAAACCAACAAATCTATTCAGAGGGGGTGAAGGTGCCCTTTGATAATGAGAGTCCAGGACCAAATGGAGTTCAAGATCCAGGATTCTACTATAAAGAGTTAGATTTCTCAACTTGCCACATTATGATACTACATTTTGCAAAGGCAAAAAGTCTGATCACTTACATACTTTGCCATTCATTTCACAAGTGAAAAATGATTTCCAAAATCTTATCCTAATTGGTGGATCCTCCTGTTCAGATGTAGCTAACCTCATTTGAAGCGCCTGGTGTAGCTGTCTCTGAATACAGACTCCTGATTAGAGACCTTCACATACTAACTGACCACCTCTGAGCGCCAACTCGAGACTTCGTTTGCTCTCAAGAAAGAACAAGGAAAAATGTGCCCAAATGTGGCCTTTGGACATTGTTGGGTGTGGACGGGATGCTTGGTGCTGCTGTCACCATCTTGTGAGTGGGAGAGAACAAACCTATGAATAAAAGCAAGTAATATAGAGATGGCAGAGCAGGAAGGCGAGAAAGCACATGGGTTCTGAGGATGCCATGGAGCTACTTCAAGTGCAACTATCCTTATGGGATAGATATTCAGAGTTTTCATGCAGAGGTTATATCTTTTAAATTTATTATTTATTTTAAGAGAGAGAGAGAGAGAGAAAGAGAGCGAGCAAGCAGGGGAGGGGCAGAGAGAGAGAGTGAGAGAGAGAATCCCAAGCAGGCTCCACACTGTCAGCACAGAGCCCGACATGGGGGGGCTCGATCCCATGAATGTGAGATCATGACCTGAGCAGAAATCAAGAGTCGGAGACTTGACCAACTGAGCCACCCAGGCTCCCCTATGCTGAGGTTATTTTAAAATAATGACTGTTTCAACAAGGATGGTCAGACCCACCTGTCTCTGGGAGATCTCCAGGTGGACCGACAGCCATCTCAAGTTCAATGCGTGCACAAATGAACTATCTTTCCCCCTAAACCTCCTCTATATAATTGCTTAGAATGCTTTCAGAAAACCCTACTGAAATTCAGACAATATGGAAATGTATTATTTCACTTAAAAACAAGCCCCAAGGTAGGGTAACTTTAGGGTTGATTGATTCAGCAGTTCAGTCCAGTTGAGCCATCGAGCATATAGATTCTTCCATCTCTCTGCTCAGCCATCTGTAACGTGGCTTTCCCCCTACAAGTGGTTCCATTTGTGGTTATGAAATGACTACCAGTAGCAGCTGGGCCATGGGCTTTCTCCCTCCCGCACTACCCTCCAGACACTTTGGACATTTCCTGCTCATTCTGCTGCTGCTCTGTCCCTTGTTCTGTCCTCCATTTCTGACACCATCCCCAGCACCCAGTTCCCACTTAGTGCGCAGTCCTGTCCTCCACTGGCACTTGGTGCTTACCTCACTTATTAGTGAGCACTTATTAAGCTGCCCCATATTTATGTGTCTGACTCTCCACTGTGAAGCGCTTGAAGGGAAGGGGCTGTAACTTTTTTTTTTTTATGGGTCGCACCTAGAATAGTACTTGGCACATAGAAGGCACTTAACAAATGTTTATTAAATAAAAGGTGAATCAGTAAAGTAAAAATTAGGGGAGAGGCTTATGTTACATGAGTCTTCATATATTTTTACCATGGAAAACTTTGTTTTGTATTGCCAATATATTTGTGATCCATTTATTATTTTAGAAATCGATGGATATAATTTAAGCCTACACCAGGGGGAAGGGCCCAAGATGATATTTCCCTGTGAAGAATGAGCTGTTCATTACTCAGGTTTGAGACAAGAGATGCAGAAAAGTGTATTTGGAAGTGAACTTGGCCAAATGAAGTTTCCTTTCAACTGTTCTCGTAGTCCGTCTTTTGGACCTCTCAGTGAATTTCCCACGTGGCAAAGCATTAGCCACTTCATGCTTCTGTTTTCCTATTTGCAAAATGAGAATAATGAGAGCTTTTATGATTCTAGTACTAGATTGGAAAAATGGCTATTTATATAGAACTTTAAGCATCACAGGAGAAAACATAGGATATTAATGATACAAATAAGGATGTCATTAAAATGGGAGCAGGAGAGAACAAAGGGATGCATTCACCTCACTACTCTGTGTGACTTTAACAGCATGTGGAGAAATATATAGATAGTACTGTTCACATTAATAAGACACCAAGCTGTACTACAGATATTGCTAAGAATGGCTTAATTTTTTCCCCTTAGTTCTGGCTTTACAATGTTTTTGGCTAAGAAAAATTTTTTTTCTGCTGATTTGCAGAGAACCCAATATCTGAAAGACCTTTTTAGTTTATCTGGGTACTTTAAGTATCAAGCACATGATTTTATACTTAATGCGTTACTTTCTAAATCCAAGATAAAAGCTCATGATTTACATGTTCTTGTTAAGCTAGAGAGTGTTAAAAAAAGAAAAAAAGTAATTTGATTTAATGGGGAAAAGTTAATTTCAAATAAAATGTTCAGCAGGCTATTTCTTCTGTACTTTCAGTAATCGGTGTGACATCTAACTTTGAAGCCTTCAAGTCTTCATTCAGTCCTCAGTTCAACAGCCCTCCATGGGGGCCGGACACGTGCTGTGTTCACAGCTAGGTGTGCCAGGTAGGCTTGACTTTGAGTTGCTTGCCATTAGGACAGGGGTCAGGCAAATCGACAGCTGCATTATGAGGTGACAAATGCCACAATGGCATTAATAGTTATTTCTATGGCTAAGTGTTAAAAGCATTTATACAATTATACACACTTTTTTCTTTCCTATCCAATGAAATTTTCGTAAACCTTAATTTGATCATACATCAGCTTTTCATACTCACAGTCTCTTATTTTTCCCATTTTGTTCTCTCCTAACTCCCTATTTCCACACTGTCATTTATCATTCCTGTCTCCTTTTCTCTTGATTCATAATTATGCTTCAGCATTTCTGCTGTCACAGAGACTCTCTATCTTCAAGGTCATTCATTCATTCATTCGCCTTTGTTGTATCAAGAACTCTGTCAGTTCTAGGGGGGAAAAACGAATAAGACTTATTTCCTTCTCTTAAGGGGCTTGCTGTCCAGCCGGGCTGAGGAGAGGTGCCATGACAGAAATGGGGAGCACTAAGAAGGTAGTCAGTGAATCAGTGCTACACAAAGGCAGGGTCTCAAAACTGAGAAGGTGAAAAAGAGGCATTTTCGGCAGCCGGTGACCAGGAACCTGATTCTGATTGGCTTAAGCAGAAGGGCATGTCTTATCTCACAGAACTGGAAGTCCAGAGGTCAGCTGCCTTCAGAGTTGCTGAAGGAAGCGAAGGAGCAGAATCCTGAAAAGACGCGTTCTCCGCACACGTGTACTCTGTACAGTGTACCAGTGTACTTGGGAAGCACATGCAGGCTCTCAAGCAGACCCTCTCTGGCAGTCACAGCCCATTCAGCAACCTGGGGCCTATGGACCTATCTCAAAACAGATGGCTAGATTTTTTTCAATGAAGCTTTTATTAAGCAATTAATGGAGGGGCGCCTGGGTGGCTCAGTTGGTTAAGCATCCAACTTCAACTCAGCTCATGATCTCAAGGTTTGAGCTCAGAGCCTGGAGTCTGCTTCAAGTTCTGTGTCTACCTCTCTCTCTGCTACCCTCCACCCCCCACCCCCCCATAAACAAACATTAAAAAAAAAAAAAGAAGCTAGGGGAAATGAAACAAATACAGAGAGGGCTGAATGTTCAGAGAGTTCAGATTCTCTTTTTTAATCCATTTGCTGGCACTATTTATATATTTTTCTTCAACTAACCTGAGAATGCATGTCAGCAACTCCAGCAGCCCAGCCCCGACTTTTAACTTTAGATGAAAGCTTTACACTGTCAGTTCCTCAGGGAGCAGCTGCTAGCATGTCCTGCAGGTGGACACCCCATGCCCAGCACCTAGGGGAGGCTGTGCGTCACTCCACTCCTCTCCCTTGCAGTCACCATCACTAGCCCATCTCCTAAATTCCTGCTCAGCTTTAGGCCTTTGAGACAATATATTCTTGTCCCAGGCTAGTTTTAAAACCTATGTTTGCTTAAGTTATTCACTAGCCAGTTGTTCTGGCAAATTCTTCACGTTAGAGTTTCTGTGCCTTTCATGCTGTTGTGTGGCAACCATCTCTCTTGCTTTCCCGTCTGAATTCTACTCATTTCCTCCAAAGGCCAACGGTGAAATCCTTCTTCTTGAGTTCCAGAGGCTCCTTGTTGAACGACCTGCTAGGTTATTTATTCCTGAGGGATCTTCCAATGTGTGGCCCATTTTCAGGACACAGCTGTTTGACAAGCTCCAAATGAAGGTTGACCAGCTCTCCCAAGCAGAGTGTCAGCACTGTCACCACTGTATTCTTTAATTGCTCTACATAGACAGTTCCCAGACCAGACATAATTCCCATCCATTCATTCCTTTCTCCAGCAAATAGTTAAGAACATAAAATGTGATCAGGCACTGGTCTAGGAGCTGGATATCCATCCAGCCGTAAACAAAGAGCTCTTGTAGAGCTTCTAGGCTACTGAGGAAGGCAGGCAATACATAAGATAAATTAGCAAGTTAAGGAAAGGATATGAAACATTGGAGTGAACGGGTGAAGAAATTGTGAAAAGAATGGCCAGAAATTCTCTCTCTCTTACTGTGGGTTGACAACTGTCTTAGTCCCTTCGGGTTTTGCTATAACAAAATGGTGCAGACTGGGTGACTTATAAACAACAGTGGTTTACTTCTCACAGTTCTAGAAGCTGGGAGTCTGTGATCAGGGTGCCAGCACGGTCTGGTGAGGGCATGCTTCCCACCCACAGACTTCTGTGTCTTCACAAGGGGCAAGGGAGCTCTCTGGAGTCTTCTTTATAAGGGCATTAATCCTGTTCATAAGGGCTCCACCCTCATGGCCTAATCACCTCCCAGAGGCCCCACCTCCAAATACCATCACAATAGAGGTTAGGTCTAAACACATACATTTTAGTGGTTGGGGGGCACACAAACATTACACCCATTTTATGGCTGCTGCTATTCTTACTATTCATGCTCTTGATTAACTGATAGTTTGATACCATTCTCTCTTCCAGCTGTTTTCAACCCTACTTGCATCCAGAATCACTTGGGAAATTTTAAAAACTACTAATACTAATACTGATACTCTGAGAAACCTGAATTTAATTGATCAGAGCTGGGACTATTGCATTGGTAGTTAAAAAGGTCTCTCCAGCAATTCTAATGTGCAACTGCTCTATTTCATGGAGACTGAAGAATTTGTGAAAGCCAGAATGTAAGAACTGGCTCATAGCATTATAGCATTTCTGTGAAATAAGCAATGAAAAAAAATAAAACCAAACCCAATCAACATCCTGCAACAGGATGTTCTTCTTTATGTTCTTGTACCCTCAATGTGTTCTCAGGTCCTTAAGGTAAACACTGCTCATTACCACGTGTGAAGGCTTCTTGGTAATTTCTCTGTAAAGTGAATGGCAGAACAAGGTAAGAAAGGAAGTTTCTATGATGTGTTAAGTGCTTTAAAATGACTATTACACACTCAATAAGTCATGCCTTGTGAAATCACCTTTGAAATGTAAAACAAAAATTACCCTAGCTGCACTTTATGTAGATGTATTTTTCACTCCTACTCTGCAAATACAATCAATGGCATCCTTCAGTTATTAGGCTCAACAGCAGTTATATATTAGGTGACTGACTGGAAATCTTTCAAAACTCACCTTCAAGTTCCACAACTTGCCTCTAAGAAAGGAACCAAAAATTAGCAACTCAGAAAACAACAGATGTTGGTGAGGATGTAGAGAAAAGGGAACACTTTTGCATTGTTGGTGGGAATGCAAACTGGTGCAGCCACTCTGGAGGACGGTATGGAGGTTCCTCAAAAAATTAAAAATAGAGCTACCTTACAACCCAACAATTGCACTACTAGGTATTTATCCAAAGGACACAAAAATGCTGATTTGAAGGGGCACATACACCCTGATGTATAGCAGTGCTATCAACAATAGCCAAATTATGCAAAGAGTCTAAATGTCCATCAACTGATGAATGAATAAAGAAGATGTGGCACACACACACACACACACTGGAAAATATAACCTGATGTTCAAAAAGAATGAAATCTTGCTATTTGCTCATAGATTGGAAGAATAAATATTGTTAAAATGTCATTACTAGCCAAAGCAATCTATACATTCAATGCAATCCCAATCAAAATTGCACCAGCATTCTTCTCAAAGCTGGAACAAGCTATCCTAAAATTTGTACGGAACCACAAAAGACCCCGAACAGCCAAAGTAATATTGAAGAAAAAAAACAAAATGAGAGGCATCACCATCCCAGACTTTAGCCTCTACTACAAAGCTGTCATCATCAAGACAGTATGGGATTGGTACAAAAACAGACGCATAGACCAATGGACTAGAATAGAGAACTCAGAATTGGACCCACAAATGTATGGCCAACTAATCTTTGACAAAGCGGGAAAGAGTATCCAATGGAAAAAAGCCAGCCTCTTTAACAGATGGTGCTGGGAGAACTGGACAGTAACATCCAGAAGAATGAAACTAGATCATTTTCTCACACCATACACAAAAATAAACTCAAAATGGATGAAGGACCTGAACATGAGACAGGAAACCATCAAAACCCTAGAGGAGAAAGCAGGAAACAACCTCCTTGACCTCAACTGCAGCAATTTCTTACTTGACACATCCCCAAAGGCAAGAGCAAAAATGAACTATTGGGACCTCATCAAGATAAAAAGTTTCTGCAAGGCAAAGGAAACAATCCATAAAACCAATAGGCAACCGATGGAATGGGAAAAGATAGTTGCAAATGACATATCAGATAAAGGGCTAGTATCCAAAATCTATAAGGAACTCACCAAACTCCACACCCGGAAAACAAACAACCCAGTGAAGAAATGGGCAGAAGACATGAACAGACACTTCTCCAAAAAGGATATCCAGATGGCCAACAGACACATGAAACGATGCTCAGCATCCCTCCTCATCGGGGAAATATAAATCAAAACCACACTGAGATACCACCTCGTGCCAGTCAGAGTGGCTAAAATGAGCAAATCGAGAACTCTAGATGCTGGCGAGGATGTGGAGAAACGGGCACCCTCCTACACTGTTGGTGGGAATGTAAACTGATGCAGCCCCTCTGGAAAACAGTGTGGAGGTTTCTCAAAAAATTAACAATAGAACTCCCTATGACCCAGCAATAGCACTGCTAAGAATTTACCCAAGGGATACAGGGGTGCTGATGCATAGGGGCACATGGACCCCAATGTTCATAGCAGCACTCTCAACAATAGCCAAAACATGGGAAGATCCTAAGTGTCCATCAACAGACTAATGGATCAAGAAGATGTGGTTTATCTATACAATGGAATACTACATGGCAATGAGAAAGAATGAAATCTGGCCATTTGTAGCAACATGGATGGAACTTGAGGGTGTTATACTGAGTGAATTAAGTCAGGCAGAGAAAGATATCATATGTTTGCATGTATAGGAGGATTAGGAGGAACTTAACGGAGGACTATGGGGGAGAAGAAGGAGAAAAATAGTTGGGGAGAGGGAGGGAGGCAAACTATGAGAGACTCTTGAATGCTGAGAACAAACTGAGGGCTGATGGGGGTGGAGGAGAGGGGAAGGGGGCTGATGGGCATGGAGGACGGCACTTGGGATGAGCACTGGGTGTTATAGGAAACCAACTCCATCGACTGATGAATGGATAAAGAAGATGTGATGCGAGCATGCGCCGCACACACACACACACACGCACACACACACTGGAATATTACTTGGTGTTCAAAAAGAATGAAATCTTGCTATTTGCAGCAATGTGGATGGAACTAGAATGTATTATCTAAGTGAAATAAGTCGGAGAAAGACAAATAACATATGATTTCACTCCTGTGGAATTTAAGAAACAAAACAGACGAACATAGGGGAAGGGAAGGAAAAATACGATAAAAACAAAGAGGGAGGCAAACCATAAGAGACTCTTAAATACAGAGAAAAAACTAGGGTTGCTGGAGGGGAGGTGGGTAGGAGGATGGGTTAAATGGGTGATGGGCATTAAGAAGGGCACTTGTTGGGATGAGCACTGGGTGTCATATGTAAGTGATGAATCACTGGGCTCTACTCCTGAAACCATTATCACACTCTGTTACCTAACTTAGATTTAAATAAAATAAAATTTAAAAAAAAAGAAGGAGCCAGAGATGACAGAGCAGAAAAGCAGAAAGAATCTGGGGCCCCAGGTATTATTGAATCATCCCTCTGACAACTGTGCCTTTGGAGCTGATATATTCCATTTTACATCCCAAGGATTCTCTCTCAATTTCTTGATATTCATCAGGGAAACTTTGGATTTGCCCTATCTTGTTTATTAAATAGTATATAAGTCAGGGTTCTCCAGAGAAACGAACCAATAGGGTGCGTGTGTGTGTGATGTATTTATATATTTCTATCTCAGTATCTATCCATGTATCTATGTATGTTATTTATCAATCTATCTCTTTCTCATATATCCATCAATCATCTATCTGCTATCTATCTATCTATCTATCTATCTATCTATCTATCTATCTGGAGATATTTTAAGGAACTGGCGCAGAAAGCTGAGAGGATCTACAAGTTTGAAATCCACAGGCCAGGCCAGCAGGCTAACTCAGGCAGGACTTGATGCAGGCGTGAGGCAGAATGCCTTTTTCTTTGGGAAATTTCAGTCTTTGCTCTTAAGGCTTTTAAATGATTGGATGAGGCCAGCTAACCCTACCAAAGGTAATATCGTTTGCTTAAAGTCAGCAATTGTAGATGATCAGAGCATCCACAAAATACCTATGCAGCAACGCCTGGATTAGTGTTTGATTAAATGTGTGGGGGCCATATCCTAAGCAAGCTGACACATAAGACTATCACAAAGAGTTTGATAAAGAGAAAAACATCACGGATTTTGGAGTCTGACGACCTGGTCTCTAGTCCCAATTCACCCATCAACTTGTTCAATGGATTTTGAGTACATTTCACAAACTTTTAAAGTCTCATTTTGTTCTTCCGGAAATTTGGGGGTAGGGCATAGACGAGAAGTTTCTAAGGCAGTGATGTTCCATTTGTCTCTGAAATTCTCAGAGCCTTTAAAGCTTATTCAGTATCCTTGAATGTCCCCCCCGCCCCCCGCCCCGCCCTCGCCATCTTAAAAGTGTGCCTGCTCTTGGGCTATAGATTTTGTGCTAGTTACCACCAGGGATTTGTAGTGGGTGAAAAGCTGTTCTCCAGGGAGGAATCGATGGAAAAAGAATTGATGGAATGCTTCCTGGAGAAAGTAGGAATTGACTGGATGGATGTCCATTGAGGATGATGCTGTAGCAGTGTGACTACAGAACTTCTATTTTGGGGATCTCCAAGTTCGTTTTTTTCCATTGCTGGCAAGTTTACTCTCCTAGACTCAACAGTGGCCTTTACCTAGTTTCCTCTGTTCTTGCTCGAAAGTGATTTCTCTAGGACCGTCGAATCATTTTAAGCTTAATTTAGACCATGGTTGGAAAGACTTTGGAACTGACAAGTCACCGAACCTATATATATTTGCTTACTTGGTTCAAATGGTCAGTTTCTAAGTTTCTGTTCTTCTAAAATATGCTTTCCCCTGACAGGGAAAATGTTGGCAGATCAGCTGAACAGTCATAAAACAGTTCTTAACTCAAGCCCTGGCCCTGGCAAGCAGAGATTACCTCAGGCCTGTTTACTCACTACATTGTGTCATTAAATTTAATTCAACCTTTGGTGTTGAGAAATATGTTTCATTTTTTTTCCCCAGATCTGCATTTCATCTTTGACTGAACAGCTTTAAAAGGAAAGAAGTTCATAATTTAGAGTATATAGTTGATTTCTTCCTAAAATTACCCACATGGTTGCAGACACACAGATATGCTGTATCTGGTATGGTGCATCTGCATCTTACTGGAAGAAACCCCAGCTCAAATGATTAAAGAAAAGTACAGCTTTTATTACTGAACAGTCTGGAATCAGGGCAGGCTGTGCAATGGCTTGATACATTAGCTCAAAGTGCACCAAGGACCAGCTCTTTGCATGTCACCTCTCTGCTTTTCAGTGTCATTTGGTTTTAAGGGCGAGCTCCCCACAGTCACCACACGGCTGCCAGGGCTTCAGGCTTTCCCATCCTCATTTAGCGGGAGGAGAAAGGCAGGGGAGGAGAGAATTTCTTTTCTACCATAAAACAAGTCTTGGAGTCTTATCACTCTGATGTCCAAGGAAGGAGATAGAACCACTCTGCTTGGCTTGACAAATTAAGTCCTAGCTCTGGACTAGATGTGAGGCCATCCTACTCAGTGTGTTGCTGCTCATTAGCAGAGGGGCACAATGAATTTGAGGGAGGTTCAATATCCTATACACAT